CTTTACCAACACTGACTCACCACCTACGTAAGGCAGGCATGCATTGGGCTGTGGAGGTAAAAGGTGTTACCACAGAGCTCTGACCTCAAGGGGCCCAGAGAGCGGAGCTAGCAGCTGTGTTCACCAGGCTTCTGGGATCTTGTTAAAATGCAGATTCTGGTACCAGGGGCCAGGGCGGGACCTCTGCCTTTTTGACCCTCCAACCACACTTTGAGTGGTAAGCCGTTCTCAGAAACAGAGTCTGCCCACATCCCAGCCCGCCGACAAGGACCCTCACACAGCTATGGCATGGGGCAAGGCTGGCGGGGCTGCTGGTGTTCCCAGAGGGAACGGCTCAGGTGGCCACCTCACCTGCCCGTGGTCCTGTGGTAGCCAGAGGGGCACTTGGGGCACAGCGCAGACCGCTTGACTTCCTATCCTCCGTTTTCAGGTGTGCTCTAAAAGCTCTCTTCCAGCTGTCCCTTACTAACCACACTCCTCTGTAAAGGAAAGTGGCTTTGCTTTTCCATATTTATAAAATATGAAGCAGCAGCATGGTAGGGGGTTGGGGGAGGCCTGACAAATCTGGACTTAAATCCAGGATGCACAGGTTTAGTGATGCGGGGCACAGCCAGTTTTCTTAACTGAAAGGAAAGAATAATAATCCCACCTCTGGGGGATTGGAATGGAGAATGGAAATACAGCTGACCACACGGGTTTGAAATGGGCAGGCCCACTCATACCGGACTTTCTATAGTACGCTACTGCAATGTATTTCTTCTTTCTAATTTTCACAATAAGGTTTGTTTCTCTAGCCTACTTTATAGGAAGAATCCAGTAGATAATCCATATAATCCATGTAACATATAAAGTAGGTGTGAATTCACTGTCCTGTTATTGGTAAAGCTTCTGGTCAATAGTTAAGTTTGGGGGAAGGCAAAACTAGACACAGGTTTTCAACTGTGGCAGGAGGGGGGGTTGGTGCCCATAACCCCGTGTGGTTCAAGAATCAACTGTAAAGTGTGAACCACCAAAAAAAGTTGTGTCCCGAGCAAACTAAAGCCTCAGATGGTAGCCAGGATTATTCTCAAGGCGCAGGTTTACTAATCCCTGTCCTTAGGTGATCGTCACGGGACACGCACTACCTGTACACCTGGGGAAAGTGAGGCAGGGGCACGAGGCCGCAGGGGAGCATGTGCCATACTAGGCATGGGGACTCAGCATGGCTTTCAAGATCCCCCTAAGTCACTTAAGAAGGGAGACAGAGCCATGATGACCGAAGGGAGAGGAGAGCGCACAGGCAGACCTCCAAGGGGTCATCCAGATCTCCGAGTCTGAGGACATCAGTCCTCCCTGGACACCTGTGAGTCCAGGGCAGACATCCCCCAGCTTGACTCCCTTCTGCTGGATAGAAGCCAAAGTGGCTCAAAGCTATCTCAGTATCGACAAAAAGACATTTCAATCCAGAAATTTCCAGTCAAGCCATTGGTCAGGAGGCCTCAGCAGAGAGATAAGCATGTTGCCACCTGCCCAGACTATGAAACCCTCTCTGCTTTTGAAAACTGAGTCAAAGAACCCATCGTGGGGATTTGAGCGAGGGAAGTTGGCACAGCTGTTTTCATCATGGTGCCTTAGTGAGCCAGAGGCCCACATGTGGAGTGGAGCAGGAAAGTGGATGGTTTTCGCTGAGTTTTCATCTCTGCCACATTCGTTTTTCTTCCTGGCACACCTGATGGAATGGGAGCACGTGGGCCAAGCAGCATGAGAAGGCAGCTACCCCAAGCGCATGTGTGACTCCCTCAGCCTGGGCATGTGCCCCGAGCCACATTTGGGCTGTGCCTGAAGTCTGTGCGTCCCTAACCTCAGAGCCACTTGCAAACATCTTAGAGACACTGGCCTGAAAGGGAGAGGATCTGGAAGGCCGGGAACGAGCCCAAATCACCACCGTTTTCCAAAGGAACGGGTTCTGAAAACTACAGCAAAGCAGACTCACTCCAATTTCCGGGGCAAACCCAGAAGCGGCATTAGACAAGGCTCACAAGCATTTGGGAAGAAAGTGGTGGTCTCTAAGAGGTAACACAAGTTCTCTAAGAGAAAGTCATTCCATGCTAACCTCATTTCCTGTTTTGACGAGCTTCACCAGAACAGTCGATTAGGGGAATGCCCCAGAAAGTGTGTCTTGCTTTCAGTAAAGCATCTGAAAACCTCTCATCGTATCCTATGCACTTAAGACACACAAGATGGGCCCGTTGGTGGTATGACTGGAAAAATTCGAATTGGCTGGGACGACCTTCCCAAAGAGATCAGGCAGTGGCATGACTTCGGTCCTGCTCCCCAGACTCCTACCTACCTCCACTGCTGGAGATGGCTGTGCTGGCCAGGCCACCCACTCGATCTCAACAGCTCAAATGATTCAGAGTTTTTCTCCCCACTGGCAAGTGAGCTTTGAAAGGATCCTCTGCAGCTCTACACATGGGGAAGGTTGAGTGTGGGTCTATGGCTTGTGTTGCTCTATTCATGTCCTTAGGAGGGAAGCAGGGAAGTTTCCATGGAGACCCACAGGGCCCTGTCCCACATTCCATTTTAAAACTGACTTGGAGGAGTGCCTGGGTGGTTCAGTGGGTTAAAGCCTCTGCCTTCAGCTCAGGTCATGATCTCAGGGTCCTGGGATCGAGTCCCACATCGGGCTCTCTGCTTAGCAGGGAGTCTGCTTCCCCACCCCACCCCCTGCCTGCCTCTCTGCCTACTTGTGATCTCTCTCCCTATCAAATTAATAAATAAATCTTTAAAAATAAAAATAAAATAAAGTAAAACTGACTTGGAGGGAGATACTGATGGCCTATTTGTCACATTTGCAAATCACGCAAACCTCTTGGGACAAAATGGCCTCACACCATCGACTCATAGGGGTCAGGAGGCTGGGGTGAAATGAGATAGGAGCAAACGTGAAGCCTAGGTTTTTCTGAAAAACATAGTGTGCTGGAGAAGCACCGAATTCAGGCACATTCGACTTCTAGCTATGTCACTGCCTGCCCATGTGTGACCAGAGATGACAAAATAACCCTTGAGAGTCTTCACCTCTACTTTTTAATTCTTTCCGTAATACTGAACTCTCTCAGGGTATTAGACTGGCACCAAAAATCCTTTCCCTACTTGGGTTGGGCCTTGTTGTGAGGACGGAATAAGTCAGAGGTGGTAAAGTGCTTTGAAAAAGGGAAAGCTCCGAAATTCAAAATAGTATTATTATTTGTTGTAAGGTGCTTTCCCTCCAAAAAAAGAAAAAAAAAAAAAAAAAACTCTGACAGTCTATGAGTGATAAGCAGAAAATGATTCAGCTTTGGCTTCTGTTTCTCCAGCTGTAACCCCAGACTGGCTGGGCTCACAAAGTGGCCCCCAACGAGTCCATCACAGATTCTGAACTCCTACAAGACTCCAACCCCCTCCTTTGGCCCTCTGCTTTTCCCAAAGATCTTCCTGGAAGGCTTGCTTCCCACTGTCCCAAATTCTGGTAAAGAATCATTCAGACAGTTCCCTTTCCAGGGCTGGGTATTCAGAGATGTAAACCAAGTACATAGCCAGAGTGAATGCCAAATGACTTGGGTTGGGACCTTGGACTTCTCCTGGTATTTTAAGTTATTTTGGATCCTACCAGGTGGTCTTTTGAAAGCATGTCGCTCTTGCTACTGCACGAGCCCTGGCTCAAAAGGTAGATGAAAAATATACTGCAGGCCCAAGACAGGAGAGCTGGCCCTGGTCAAATTAACAGACGGAGAGAATCACCTTAAATTTCTCTTGTGTTCAGTGTAATTTCACTTGGCATCAGAGTTCACCTAGACAGAGCTGTCTTGTAGAACTTTCTGTGATGACACACGTGTTTTACATCTGTGCTATCCAATCTGGCAACCACAGCCTCATTTGGATATTTATATTTAAATTAACAAAAATTTTAAAAAGAATTAAAAATGTATTCCTCAGTCACACAGCTATGTTTTAATTTTTCATGAGACACATGTGGCTAATGGCCACCATATTGGAAAACAACCTCAGACCAACAGTTCTTACCCTTGGCTACTGGTTGGAATTACCTGGGGAGTTTTTAAAAAATACTAACATCTGTCCCTCCACCCCAAATTCTGTTGTGATTGGTCCTGGTGGAGCCTGGGCATTGGATTTCTTAAAACTCCTGGGTAATTCTAATGTCTGGCCAGGATTCAGAACCATTGTCCCAACCATGGAGAACTCTGGGCTCAATTTTCATTTGTTCCTCTTGTTACCTTGTGAACTGATTATCCTGCAAATGCCACATGAGTTATTTCTGCTTCTGCCTGTGACTTCCACCTTTTCCACCTTTTCCAGGTCATAAGTATCCTAGTGGATTAATTTCTGGGAAATGGGCAGAGGAAGTTAGGGGATCCAAGAACTGGCAGAGTAAGAATGAGGGGCATGTACTGCAGACTCCTCCCTGACGACACATCCCTCTGCTACATGGTTGCCTTTAATCTTCCAGGAACATAAGCAGATGTAATTTAACTTAAATTAGCAAGACAAAGCTTGGTTCAGGTGAAAATCTGATTATCCCAATAGCAGATAGTTTATGATCAACCTTTTCTGCCGAAGTCTACTGACAGAAAGCGTGTGTCCTCACCTTGGCTGCTCCATTTACCTCTTTATATCATCAGAGGTAAATGGACTCACGCTTTCCTTACCCACCAAACACTGGTTAGAAAACAGAGCTACTTAATATCACAGTGTTACTCTGAGAAGTGATTAAGACGATGGATCTGGTCACTACATAGTTATTGAGACTAGTGCAAGGGTCTGGCGACAGACTGGAGATTAAGACAGACTAGAATCTTCCTTTATAGAGCTGAAATGCAGAAGGCATATGACAGGAACACAGCTGATTAATAAATGAATGAACAGGATAATTGTTGATATTACAGGGTCATGAAGTATAGAGAAGTAGTGGGGGTAAGCTGTTGTCTCGGGACAGGTGGTCAGAGAGAGAGTCCCCGAGCAGGGGGCATCAGGGCTGAGACCTGGACATACACCACAGCGTACATCGTGCCATGCAGGAGGGAGGGTTGAGATGACAAGCATGATGGACTGAGAAGTTAATTCTGAGCAGCATGAAAGGGTACAACACTATCCTTTTAAATCATTCGTGGACATCTGCTAAGCTTAAAAGTGAAGGCTGACAGAAGAGCTGGAAGGCTGCTACCCATGGGTTCTCTGGCCAGGCCCCCAAGAGGACTGAGTTGTCCCATTAAGGGCTGGGGACAAGGGTAGTACTCCACTGAAGGAATGCTTTGACACTTACCCATTCTGCAGAATGTTGAGTTGCCAATTCTGGGGGCTCAGGTTTGCAGGCGGATTAAAGAACCCATGTAAATAAAGGGAGTGTGCTGTTTATCCACGATGAATTGCCCAGTGCTCCCCTATAGTTTGTGAGAAAGGTCCCAGCAGGACCCACTCATATGGAGGCTAGAGGTGCTGAGAAGACCAGGGCAGAGTTGGTCCCACCCAAATTGTCTCCAGAATGTAGCACACAGTATGCCCCAAAGAAACCCTGTGGGATGAAGTAGTGAATGGGTGACCGATGGGTGGGGGCAGAGAAGGAGGCAGCTGAGAAAGCAGAGGTCTTCGGCAGAAAGCTCAAGTTTGGTGACGATTTTGGGGATCGCCACTTGTAGGCCATGACCATAGTAATGTGGAAAGAGAGTTCGCAATGTTTTCCTCAAATGTTAATGTGCCAATACTGACTCAAGGGAGGCCTTCTGGGGCTGCAGAAGAAAAAGGCAGGGCAAACAAGGCTCAGTAATAAGACAGTCAAGTTCAACACTCTTCTAATGATGCCCTCATGATCTGTGTGGTTAGGGCAGGGTTTACTCGTGCTGCTATAGAAATCAATCTCAAATGCTCTTTGGTGTCCTTTCCATTAATGCAGGGTATAGCTAATAAGAAAACAATTCATTTTTCTTGAGTTTTGCTTGGAATGAAGGAAAGATAATTAAGACACACAGGGGCTGGCTAGATAAATAGAAAACCGGCCAGACTAGACCATGACCACATCACAGACACATCATCGGTCAACGTGGAGGGCCTTGGAGTCCACAGCAGTTAGGATCAGGCCCCAGCGGGAAACCCTTCACCTGCACTCCGGCTGTGGGCAGCAGGTAGAGGCACTGGAGGGGGCCGAGTCCTGATTTTTCTGTGTCTGTGTCATTTTCGATCAACTGTGTCATAGAGCTTCCTGTTTCATCTCCCAGTTATTCTGAAACAAAAACATGCATGAAAAACACAGGTCACTGTCAACCGCATTGAGAGACAGTCACTCCAGTACATGGAAACCGAAAAGGGAAAGACAGATCATCAATGCGACAGTAAGCTGGGGAATCAAATTTATCAGCATCTATTCAAATAGTGATAATCAACGAAAAGTGCGGGTGGCGACGGCGGCAGGGGTGGGGGTGTGGGTAAGGGGTGGTGCAGGGCGTTCATTTAAAAATAATTCACAAGAGACTGAAAAGCCAGATGTTCCCAGAAGCCCACTACCTGTTTACTGAAAGTTGCCGTCAATTCTGACCTTCTGGGTCAGGGTCTACTACTGGGGCACACTGAGGCTTTTCCCCTACGTGTTCCTGTTGGCCTTGCTAAAAGGTCACACATGACTTTTGGGACAAGCCCGGTGTTTGCCCAGGTGATGCACCAAGCACCCCTCCCCAAGGGTCGAAAGAGATGTGAGAGAGGTCACCAGGGAATTGCAGCCCAATGAGGATGGACGAGGAGGATGGTGGCTGAACTTCTGGACCCCTGTCCTCCCCGGTCTCAGGGGCATCCCCTCGCAGGTACATCCAAGCATCATGAACAGACAGGCTTGCACCAAGAAGCCTTAGTGAGGGGAAGGAAAGAAAAAGAGGAGAAGGGGCTCCTGACCAAACAAAGGGGAGTCCAGGGCCAGCCAAATAAAAGCCTTGAGGATAGCACAAGGCTGACACAGCTCTAAGGACTATGGTTCTAATAAAAACTGCTTTGCCACTTGAGACCAGCACGGTTTGGCTCCCAAGCAGCACACTGTGGAAGGTTATTCTCAGTTCCCAAACAAATGAAAGGTTAATTCCAAAGACAGGTAGAGGGACGGGTCAATTCAGACATACAGACAGTGTCACCTCCCCCAAAGATGGTGGCCCTCCAAGCCAGCTCTGTGCTTACATCTGTGGCTTAGACAAGCGGGGGAGGGTGAGAAGGCAGGAGACAGAACTGCCATGGGAGGGAGGTCAAAGCCACGCCTGCCTACACCTTCCCGCCGTATTCTCTGACCAGGAACTGCTTACTGATGGTCAGAGAAGGAACGGGCTCTGCCTGTCTACCCAGAGCCTCCTGGGTATGGCTGTCCCCTCCACACTCCACCTGCCCCAGATGCAACCCAGAGGTCACCAGAAAAACCAGAAGCCCCCTTGCCCCACCCCATTTCCTGACTTTTGTTAATGGCACAAAATTCTCTGTAAAAAGGGAGGAAGGGGTGCACAATTTTGGAAAAACTCCATCCTGCCCCTAGAGATTCGTTCACAATGCATAGCAGCATACAAAAGACCCTGAGAAGTTAGGAAATAAAGAAAGCAGCTGAAATTCATTTACTGTGTGCTTCCCAAGCATATCTGGAGCAGAAACTTTTTTACACAACTAGCCTTTGCCAGCAGGGCTCTGCTGAGTGACAGAGATCAAAGCTTCTCTTAACACTCGACACTTCACGTGGCAGTTGTGATACTCTCTATTCCTCACCCTGTATTGTTTTTCCTTATTTCTTTCCTCCAGCCTTTTGTACGAGTGAGTTAGCTGATTCACATCAACCCCTGTAGCCTTAGTTTTCTCTCAAGAGCCCCATTTGCCAGTGCCAGGGAACTACCAGGCTTTCTGAGAGCCGATAAATTTGGCTCTGTGGTGGCTACCATTCGAGGAAGAGTGCTGCCCTGATGAGTCTGCTGGGAAAACTGGCTTCCTGATTTGTGTCCTATGAGCTAGGATTCTCTAACGTGACTTAAAGTCTGGAAACTGGACCAAAGATGTCTTATGTAGACTTTCCTGGGTGGGCAAAGAGAAACAGGAGCGAAGAAATGCATCGGCATGGACATGGGTACAAGGGAAATCCTGGTTCCTTTTGTCTTACCATTGAAATAGAGAGGTGGCTTAGGAGCTTGTGCTCTCATCCAGTGGTACCCCACTTCTGAGGGATTAAAAAAAATCAAATACAACAGCCCAGGCAGACTTTAGTAATGAACACTCCACCATGCAAACCTTGGCCAGAATCACAAAGAGTGAGACACTGCAGGGCTTTAAGGATCATCTGGTCAACCTTATTTTACAGGCACCCAGAGGGAGGAAAGTTGGCAATCTTCCTAAGGTCACACTGGAAGGGACACTGTTGGTACCGAGACCTTGGTCCCTCCTACCTACTCCCTAAATTTTGAATTCCAGCTTCCCCTGTAAGACCTGAGCTTGTTTAGGAGCTCTTGCAAGGATAAGTGAAGGTCATAACGACTCCATGTTGGGCTGGGTATCTAGTTATCCTTGAAAAAACTTAAGATAACCCATTCAGGAACTTTCAGAGATTTGCACCTAATTCAAAGCCAACCACACATTTAGCTTCCCATATGCTGGCATCCACAAGGAGCAGGGGGAAGCTAGCAGCCCCATGTTGGACAGTCCCAGAGGCGCCTCGGGTCACATTACCCCTTTACTCTTACTCCCAGTCTGGCTAAATTACACTACTCCTGCCCGTCTCTCTAGTATTCAAGGGGCTCCAGTTAGGTCTCCCCACTGTGCACACAACTTCACTCTCCCTCGGATCTGAGGGATGGCCTTAGGGTCATCACACCGCAAATACAAGCTCTCATCAGGGACCTGAAATGTAGCTCAAGCAATTTTCCGGATGTTCGTTCAGCTAGCTCCCAAATCCTGCCCTTTCTGTTCCTAAGGACAGAGGAAAAGCTCCAGGCACGGGGAACTGAGAAGGGGCGACCAAACAGTAGCTCAGACACCCACCCCCAGCCTGGGGATTCACGGGCTGGCCTCACGCAGGCCTTTTTCCCAGGCAGTAAGTACCAGGGCACAGGGGCAGGGGAGCAAAGCCACCGACTTCAGTTGGCTATAACAACCATGGCACTGCCAAGCTCTCACTGCCAAAAGGCCAAACCAGGCCCCCCAGCCCCCCAGGTGCAGAACACACACTTGAGCCTGTTCTGCACCAAAGTCTTTGTCAATGCTTGGGAAAATGACAAGCCAGGCACTCACATCCTGTTCGTGCTGACTCACAGTGGATTCTGACAGTGCTGGGAGCCAACTTTTTAAGATTTCGAAATAGTGCCCAGGAGGATAGGGTGTATTCAACAGCATCAAGGTGTCCAGCTCTTGGGACCCCACTGTTTTTATTTCTCAGGAAGTTAAGACCAAGAGGGCACGGCCAAAAAATGTTGGTTGCTTATCACAGACTAATTACAGAGATAAGTGTACGGGTCCCTTGTGTAAATTACTAGGCTTCTGTGTAGCCAGGCCGGTCAGGGCAGGGAAGAGAGAAATCTTCGCTTGACAGCCCCCCTTCCCTTGTTTCTGAAGGGGGCTCCTAGTTCTCGAGCTACAGCCACGTAACTCTGAGCAGATTTAGAGCCTTTCCTGAGGGGATACCCCCTGAGAAGTAGTTTTTGCAAAGTGTTCCACGCATCATTACAGACCTACACGTGGTTCAGAAAGACTCTGTGTCCCTTAAAACCCCCATCAGCAGAGCACGAGCCTGTCCCAGGACCGCCGCACAACACACCCAGATCCTCTAGGTCACCACTGGGCCCATGCCACACAGCAGACACTGTTCCAGATGCGTGCTCCCCCTTGGGCACAGCATCGGCCTCCAGGCTGGTGCTGTTCCGCTCATCCCTCTCACGCGGGAGGCAGCGGGGAGCTCCACAACTAGCTAGTAGATGGTGGCACCCTGCTTCCCATCTAGCATCCTGATCCAGGCATTCTGCCCCCCTTCTGAGATGAACGGGAGCTCACAGGTGATTCAACGCCTTGTCCCCCAGGGGAGCTTGGAAGCTTGCCCACCTTCTGGTACAGGGAGGTACTTATTCAAGACCTTCCTCCATTTGTACCAAAGGTGGGACGAGAGACAAGAGTGGGCAACCCAAGGGCGGCCCTCACTGGAATGTTTCCTGCTACAGTCATCGCCCCCCTCTCCTTGGCCACTCCCTCTATCCTTAGGACAAAATCCACTTTGCAAAGAACTGAACCTCAAAACCATGCTAGCTGACCTATTGTCTGGCCGGCGCTGTGAAAGCTCCGATTTACAGGGAAACTTGCTGTCTAATTACCGAGGGATGCCAAGTTCTGAGGGCCAGATTTCCTGCTGTGCCTGTGCTGGGCACACGAAGCGACGAGGCAGTGGAGGGAAGACGGACACACTGACACGCTCCGTCAGACACGCCTTTCAGGTGTTCCGATCAGCCATGGCCCAGGGCCCTCACCAGCGCTTCTCAACACGGGGCTCTGGACCAGCAGCATCATATCACCTGAGAATTTGTTAGAAATGCAAATTCGCAGGCCCTTTCCCAGACCTTCTCAACTCGAAACTTCGGCGGTGGGGCCCAGCGATGTCTGTTTTCATAAGCCCCCAGGTGGTTCAGACACATGCCCAAGATCACAGTGGTGACTGAACCTCAGAACACCCTAGTGATGCTCTTGGACGTGGGGCTGTGGGCTTGGTCCCTGGCAACTGTGGGTGACCGCATGGTAGTTAACTGTTCCTAAGTGTGTCACTGGATGGTTCTCTCCTGAGATCCCCACAGAGGCAGGAAAGAGGCCACAGCTCAGAGGCCGTCCAAGACTTTCAACAAGTTCTTGGGGGGATCTGGGGAGAAGTGTTGATACGATGTGCCGGTCCCTTCGTCTCCTTTTCTGGGCACTGCTCCTCTGCACAGCAAGGGCCGAGCGCAGAGGGATTTGAAGCCTGCATGAGTGACTTCCTCCGGTCATCCACCTCCCTCCCGGCCAGCCGGCATGCTGCCTCTCCCCACCCCCACCCCACTGCCCCCCACCCCATGGCCCCCCTCTCCGGCACTCTCAATCCACTCGGCCCGAGGACAACACTTGAGCCACCAGGTTGGGTGGCATTTCTCTCCAAAAAAAGAATAGAAAATGGTTTCACCAGCTTGACCCTCCTTACTGCTACACTGGGAGGAGGGGTTCGGGCAAAGCCCTCCCTGCTTCAGAGCTCTGCTCACACGA